GAGCCCTTAGCAGTTTCTGAAGGGTTTATTATGGACCTACTTCTGATTCTGCTCTCACGGGGTGTGAGTTTGAAGGATGTTCTGCAGTTTTCAATTATTCCAATGACCACTCATACTGCCTCTATTATGCCTGTTGGGTGGGGGATACATTCCGCTCTGAGGCATGCAATGTTTGTGGTTGTTGGAATCACTGTTTTAGCTTAGCCTCCTTCTAGGGACTCAGCTTATCAGGCAACTGCTGGTTTATGGGCCGAATTTGTCCATATACATAGGTATCGGGTTCAAATTGATGTGGTTGCTCCAAGGTTGGTCTCTTTATCTTTTCAAAATGTGGACTTGGAACAGTTGTTATTTTCTACTTGCTTCAAGTTTGCTCCTCCGTCTCATTCCCCAGATTTGGCTGGTTGTTCAGTGGACCTAGGGGCAACCCCCTTTGCTCCCAGATCCAAAACATCTTGAGAGTTACAGAGGGGTCTGTCTAATTACCCAAAGCCACCAAAAGCTTCCTGGCATTACGTTAGTAACGAATAAATATGATATATTTATTCATTATAATATTGGTGCTGAATGTAGAACATGGAAAAACATATTTTTACTCTGAAAAAGTATCATTTCATAACAAAATTACAGTAGACGAAAATAAGCTGCTGGTGGCGCCAAAGCAAGTCGATGGTAAAAGCGACAATGTTGTGGAGCAACTTATCCAAGACACATTGTTGCCTAAAGAGTATTTGCTGGCATATCAGCCTCCTGTACCTACCTAACCTAACAAAACATAACCTAACCTATACAAACCTAAGTTAATATAACCTGTAAGCAACAATATATCTTGGATAAGTCACTCCACAACATTGTCACTTGGACCGTTGACTTGCTTTGGCATCACCAGCAGCTTATTTTCGTCTAATTTCGTTATGATATGATACTTTTTCAGAGGAAAAATATGTTTTTCCATGTTCTACATTTAGCACCAATATTACAATGAGTAAATATATCATATACAGTATATTTATTATTATGGTCAGTTAATTAATATGATATATTATACTCATTATAATGAGTAAATATATCATATTAACTGCCAGGAAGCTTTGGGTGGCTTTGAGTGGCTTTGGGTAGCTTTGGGTAATTAGACGGACCGTTTCAGAGTCTTGGGGTGATGATACTTTGGATGTGTTTGGTCCTTCTCTGAGGACCTCCCCTTCCATTTCAACAGTAGAGGTAATTGAGCCACTGCTTTCCTCCAAGGATCTGCTGCCAGTTTCTTGGGGTTTTACTGCTGCAGATCCTTCCCTGTTGAGATGTTTTTATGCCTTTTCATAAAAAGACAACTCCCAGATGAGGTTCTGGGAATTGTTCTACTCCCCAAGCCCGCCCCAGGACCAGGCTTGACTTGTGACAGCTTGGTTCAACAGGCTGTTGCTTGGAGCGGTTCATAGGAGCACATATCAACTGCAGTCCAGTTGGTCTGGTACTTCTTGCAGAAAACAGTCCAGTTTTTTCTTCAAGATTTCTACTTTTCTTCCAGCAATATTTCATCTTATTGCTGGAATTAAAATGCATCAACCAATTGCTATTCATATATTTGTATATTCATCGCTGTCATACATAAACTATTATAAATGCACCTTTGCTTTTGCATCTCCTCTATTGAGAATTCATTTGTGAATATTTTGACAATTTATATTTATAACGCAACAAATAACTGAGAAACTGCAAAGTTATTGTAAACCTTTTAAACATTGGTGAGCGGCCCATAAGCAACGTGGGTAGACCTGAACATTTCTGGTCAGCAATGTAAGGAAAGGCTGGGCTGCCAGTGTGTTAAGGTGTTAAGGTATGTGTTAACAAGCATCACCTTGTAAATACTTAATTTATTATGCATCCCTTTTTATGTTGATATAGTTTAAATTGGTCCTTATGTGTGCTAATTGTGTGTTCGTGTGTTTATATAATTTACAGTACAGTTTATAGTTTTCTTTACTATTAAGAGGTGTCTTGTATTCTTATATTTATTCCTATAACTAGGCTTAAAAATTTTAATTAACTACCGTAATATACATTTTGAACTAGATTAAAAGATTGAACCCTAATATACCTGTAATGTAAATAAAATGTTGCCCCTTCATTTAAATATTATGATTTAAAGTAGTATTATGGTCAATGTTCAAATTTAGTACTGTGTATGATATTGATTTTTCAGTAAATTATAGTGTACAGCATACATGCCAAGCTGTTCTGAACTTCAAAGTAATTTTATCTACTGTATATTATTTATTCCCAGTAGTGATTGTTGTAGCCTTCTTAGGCATATGCTTTAGGAACCTTCAATATTGGTATTTGTTCTTTTTTGATAAGGAGAAAATGGAAAGTTTTTAAAGATTACTGTATTTCAAACAATTTTGTATGTTTGGCAGTTGACAGAATAGCTCTCTTGATGACCACACCACACATCACAAGATGAAGAAACAATGATGTTTTGGCCATCCTGGACCATTATCAATTTGTGTGTTGATAATGGTCCACCCACGACTTGATAATGATCCAGGGCAGACCAAAACATTGTTTCTTCATCATCTGATGTATGGTTTGATCATCATATCTTCATCCACATTATTGTGACTCATTTTCTGCATAGCTCTTTTGATTGTACTGATGTGATCAATCAGTATCTTGCTATAAGTGTAGGTGACCCATTAGAAAACTATTGAGTTATTGCTAGTTAAAAAACAAGTTACTGTACTGTGCATTCACCAGCAAACCAGTGAGAGATACATTGGTGTATTATAGGATTGTGGTGAGCGTGGCGATGCAGCGTGTGGAGGTGCACGAAGATATGAAGGGTCAGCCGGTGGCAGTGGTCATGGCAAAGTTGATGGTCCACGTGGCTCAACTAGTGGTACAGTAGCATCTTCAGGAGGTTTGACTTGCCCATGTTGTGGGAAAGTGCTTCGCTACCACAGTGATTATGAGCGGCATGTACGTAAACATACTGGAGAGAGACCCTTTGCTTGTCCACATTGTGCTTATGCTTCCACAAGGAAATCTCATTTGAAGACTCACATAAACAAGTGGCATAGTAATAGTGATACATTATCTGATAAATGGACAACGTCTGTACAACAGTCTTGAAAATAGGACGTCTATGAAGCAACTGTTCCATAGGAATTCTCAGATGGAATATTCTACTCGGAAAATATTACAATTACCATTTTTACTATATTGAGAGTTGTTAAGTGTTGTTAAAGGATTAATCAATCTTTGAAAGTTTACCTTAATTTACAGTAAATGTGTACAAAGTTTAAAGTTACTTAAGGTGGCTAGTGTTTATGAAGAACACAGTACACTAAGTATTGATTAATGTACAAGTTTTTATATGACCTGGGGTAGTTTTAATGTGTTTTAGAATTTGTCTTTCCAATACAAGCAACTTGTATTTATCCATAGAATTTCTTAAAGCTTGTATGGTGTGGTGGACAGCACATTTAAAAGCGAGAGGTTTTTATTTTGGGAAAGATGGAGATGTTCATGCATCGATTGCTTGATCCATTTACCACCCTTGTGCACCCAAGGAGGTGAATTGATTGGCAGTGTGTGCTTACGGTACAAATTATATGTGTGTTAGGGAAAAAAAAAAGAACATTAGCATGTGTCATTTATTTATTTTGTGGGGTAAAATTAAATTGTTTAAGTGATCATAGTGGGAATCTTGTGCTCTGTGAGCTTGATGACAGATTGAAGTTTTCTACATCACTAGATAACTGTAACTCACATTTAAACATTTTTACTCATACAGTACTTAACATTCAGATCTCTAACATGACAAAGGCTTCTTGTCCTAGTCATAATACAGTATTACGTTTAAATCAGGTGGTACATAATACCATTGGTAAAATTCTATTCTTTGTAAGGATTCACTTATTTTCTTTGAATAGTTGGATTGTAACCATATTAACTAGAAATTGTTGCATATTTTAAATGTCAAATAAAATTAATTTTGTTTATTCAAAGCATTTTATATTTACCTTCAAATGTTTATTGTAAGATGCAGTCTGTTGTTGTGAAGCCCATATAAACTGTGTAGTAAACGTGTCTGATACAGGATAGTTTATATGGATATATCTTGAGGTTATCTTGAGATGATTTCGGGGCTTTTTTAGTGTCCCCGCAGCCCGGTCCTTGACCAGACCTCCACCCCCAGGAAGCAGCCCGGGACAGCTGACTAACACCCAGGTACCTATTTTACTGCTAGGTAACAGGGGCATAGGGTGAAAGAAACTCTGCCCATTGTTTCTCGCCGGCGCCCGGGATCAACCCCGGGACCACAGGATCACAAGATCCTGTGGCCGTGCTGTCCGCTCGGCCGACCGGCTCCCACGTAACATGATCGATACAGGATTGTTTCTATAGTAATAAAGTGTCTGATTCAGTATTTAATCAATGTTTGAAGTGTGCATTTGGAATACTGCAGATAATATATTGTTATCTTCTTTACGTCATTGCAGAAAGGTTTACAAATAATTTCAACAATGATGAGAATTAATGTCTTATTAGCGATTCTTGTAATATTTAAAATCTTTTAACACTACTGTATTTTGATTCCTGCCCATATGCATAATATCCAGAACAGTGTTTTTTATTTAATTATATAAGTTTTTGGTACTCAGTCTGTGGTCTAACAAACACACACAGATATACAGTACGTACAGTATAACATTCTTATATTAGTGATGTACTGTATTGAAGAAGTTAAATACTGTAATGTTAAGTTAGTGAAATTCCCTTCTCTTATTCTGATTTTGTTTAACCTGGCAGAACAGACCTGTTGTTTTTGAAGGTATGGAGGACTCATTTTTATCAATGCTAATGAACCATTAAAAATGTGTGCTATATTATATTGGATCAACATTCACTATTAAATGGTCTCGTTAGTCTTGTGGCATGTAAATATTTTTTTAGTAAGTTCAAGACCCTAATTGAAAGTGTTTCACTCTTTTTAGGATTCGGCAGGGTTCGTGGGTCTGGGCCATCCTTGTCCGTTCTGCGGCAAGTCCTCCTTCAGAGACCAATCCGACCTGAGACGTCATATACGCATCCACACTGGGGAAAGACCTTACCGTTGTCCACGTTGTCCCTATACTGCTACCAGAAATGAGCATCTTGTGGCTCATCTCCGGAGAAAACATGCAGTTGAACATGCAGCCAGCATGAAGGAGTTGCCCTCACAATAATAGAGCAATAGTAGTTAGCAGCAGAGCACACACAAAATATCAAGTTAAATTATGCAAAACTGAAATTCACACATATGAGACATAGTGATACAAATAATACAACCTGTCATCCAAAAAATTATAATACAGTACCTGTAATACAAAATATGGACTCTTGCAAGCCCCCTCCCCCCCCCCCCAACCCCCCAAAAAAAAGGTTCACATTTCGTAATGTTAATCTTGTAAAATGCCCGAGAAGAAGGGAATAACCAAACCTAACTTTTCCTAGGCCTAGTATAGTATATCTACTAAATTAGGCCAAAACTTGCATATATAGGCCTAGAACTGGTTAGGTTATATTTATGGATACTGTTTCACTTTTTGTTATGTCCTTTAATATTCCAATAATATGAATCATAAGCTTTTGTTGAATACGACAGTCCATATTTTGTACATTCTTTCATTTGTGAGAGGATGGGTTGAATAATACATAGTACTGTAATAAGAATCTTTAATGCCCACAAATCCTAGTATAAATAGGCGAGGTTGCAGTGTTCAGGACAATGATTCTGAAATTGGAAGTGAACATTACTACATTACAAAGCTGGTGATATTTTAATGGAATACATTATGAAAAAGTAATATTTATGAACATTTAGCCTAAATATAATGAAATGAAAACAATATCTGGATGCAGTTACAGAAAATGAATTAATGGAAATTGATAACATTATAAGATCTCAGCAAAGGAAAACTAAAGAGAGCATATAATGTAAAAATGGTAATTTGAATATTGCAGTTAGTGTAATGCAACAGGGAGTGGGAGTTAGGCTTCATGTCTTGTTGTATTAGCAGCTCTCTAAACAGATAATAATTACAATGATGTTAAAAAAAATAAGACACCATTAGTAATCATTACACAAGACCATCACTGATGGTGATAGTTACCAAACACTTTAGCAAACAGGCTGGTAGATGGTTCTAACAAGTTAAGTGAGAAGGTGGCGGAGGCCAAAACCGTCAGTAGCTTCAAAGCGTTATACGACAGAGTACTGGGACACCATGAGCGTAGCTCTCATCCTGTAACTACACCTTGATATCACTTTGGTAATTGCAACACAAAGCCACCATTGATAGTGATAGTAACTATTACACAACACAAGGCCACCAATGATAGTGATAGTAACCATTACACAACAACACTAGGCCACCAATGATAGTGCTAAAATACTGGTGGTAAATTAACCTACCAAAGATCATTTGTTGTTGTTGTTGTAACAGAAACATCTTGAAAAATCACAGACAAGTAATATTGTCTTGGACTAACAATTATAATGCAACTATGGGGACCATATATTAGTGTTATGATGGTCCTGAAGTGTCCTGTAAAGTGTAGTGTGTGGTGTCCCGGGAGCACTGTACCCACCTGTAGGTGTCATAGTGCCCTTAACACACACACACAAGTTGCCATGGTACTATAGTGCCCAGAACACATGTGTTGTCATGTTATTTGTAGTGCCCTCAGCCACATACGATGCCATATTATAGTGCCTTTGACAACACACATTGCCATGGTATTATAGTCCCCTCGACAACACACACATTGCCATAGTTTTATAATGCCCTTGACAACACACATTGACATGGTATTATAGTGCCCTTGACAACTCAAATCTCCTTAGTATTATAGTACCCTGACAACACACACATTGCCATGGTATTATAGTGCCCTTGACAACACACATTGCTGTGGTATTATAGTGCCCTTGACAACACACATTACCTTGGTATTATAGTGCCCTTGACAACACAAATCACCATAGTATTATAGTGCCCTTGACAACACACATCACCATGGTATTATAGTGCCCTTGACAACACACATCACCATGGTATTATAGTGTCCTTGACAACACACATCACCATGGTATTATAGTGCCCTTGACAACACACATCACCATGGTATTATAGTGCCCTTGACAACACACATCACCATGGTATTATAGTGCCCTTGACAACACACATCACCATGGTATTATAGTGCCCTTGACAACACACATCGCCGTGGTATTATAGTGCTCTTGACAACACACATCGCTGTGGTATTATAGTGCCCTTGACAACACACATCGCCGTGGTATTATAGTGCCCTTGACAACACACATCGCCGTGGTATTATAGTGCTCTTGACAACACACATCGCTGTGGTATTATAGTGCCCTTGACAACACACATCGCCGTGGTATTATAGTGCCCTTGACAACATACACATTGCCATGGTATTATAGTGTCCTTGATAACACACATCGCCGTGGTATTATAGTCCCTTGACAACACATGTTGCCATAGTATTTTAGTCCCCTTGACAATTTACATAGTATTTTTGTCCCCTTGACAATGCAAATTGCCATGGTATTATAGTCCTCTTAGCAACACATATTGCCATGGTATTATAGAGATCTTGATAACACATGATGCCATAGAATTATAGAGCCCTTGACAACACATGTTGCCATGGTATTATAGTGATCTTGACAACATTGCCATGGTATTATAGTGATCTTCACAACATTGCCATGGTATTATTGTGATCTTGACAAGTTGCCATGGTATTATTATGATCTTGACAACATTGCCATGGTATTAGAGTGCTCTTGACAACGCATATTGCCATCGTATTATACTATATTCCCCTTAACACATGTTGTCATGGAATTATAGAGCCCCTGACAACACACATGTTGCCATAGAACTGTGGCATCCTTGCAATATGCTTGTGTTATGGGAGTACTGTGGTTTGGTGTCTTGGCAACACTTCAGTGATATGATAAAACTGTGGTGGCAGCAGTGTGATGTTCTGGCACTCTGGTGTCCCAGCAACACACTGTGATGTCCTGGCAACACATTATGGTGTTTTGGCAGCACACTGTGATGTAACCAACAGCACACTGTGATGTAACCAACAGCACACTGTGATGTAACCAACAGCACACTGTGATGTAACCAACAGCACACTGTGATGTAACCAACAGCACACTGTGATGTAACCAACAGCACACTGTGATGTAACCAACAGCACACTGTGATGTAACCAACAGCACACTGTGATGTAACCAACAGCACACTGTGATGTAACCAACAGCACACTGTGATGTAACCAACAGCACACTGTGATGTAACCAACAGCACACTGTGATGTAACCAACAGCACACTGTGATGTAACCAACAGCACACTGTGATGTAACCAACAGCACACTGTGATGTAACCAACAGCACACTGTGATGTAACCAACAGCACACTGTGATGTAACCAACAGCACACTGTGATGTAACCAACAGCACACTGTGATGTAACCAACAGCACACTGTGATGTAACCAACAGCACACTGTGATGTAACCAACAGCACACTGTGATGTAACCAACAGCACACTGTGATGTAACCAACAGCACACTGTGATGTAACCAACAGCACACTGTGATGTAACCAACAGCACACTGTGATGTAACCAACAGCACACTGTGGTGTCCCAACAATGCACTGTGGTGTCCCAACAACACACTGTGGTGGCCCAACAACACACTGTGGTGTCAAAACAACACACTGTGGTGTTCCAGTAATATACTGTAATACCTGGAGCATACCCAGAAAGAGTTTCGAGAGTTTTGCTGCCTGAGTCCAGCCTGGGGCCCCAGGCTTGGCTTGTGATAACTTGGTCCAACAGGCTGTTGTTTGGAATGGCCCGTAGGCCCACATATCCACTACAACCCAGTTTGTCCCAGCAGCATAGTGTGGTATTCCAGCAATATTATGGTCTGCCAGCAACACAATAACGAGATAGATAAATAAACACCCACCACCCACACCAGTACAATGTGTGAAATAATTCGCTAGGCAATTTAAAGAATCATGCTTTCCCTGGCTGGAGATGCAGTGTTCCAAATGAAACGAGTCAAGTGACATATTTCTTGACATCTATAATATTATACATGTTGTGGAATAAATTATTTTATACAAAGAAGCATGTGAGAGATGGTTTACTTTTACAAGGTGTTGAAAGTTTTTTTCTTCATGTATGGAAATTAGTTTATCTTAAATTATATTTTCAATATAATCTTGGTGCCTTGAAAACTTCATGGATTTGTGAAGTAAAATAATATGGCTGTACTTGCATTTTCTGCAAATCTATTACATTTTTGCACTAAGTGTTGATTGACTAAGTAGGTTGTCATATTAGGTTAGTTGGAACATTCATCTGTTACTACTACAGTAGCAGCAACAATGTAATGAGTAACACTCGTAACTGAAACAGTGCCTTTAATAATGGCCGTTTTTAACTAACTTAATGCTTCATGTTGTTGTCAAAGCAGAAAAGTACTTGACATCCTTCTGAATTATGTATGTTAATAAGAAATAAAAATATAATGATGATGGATTTTATTTAATATTCTTAAACATATTTAAATTTTGTGTACAGTATTAAATATTATTTTGATCCATATGAAAGATGGTCACTCATTAATAAGTCAATAAACTTTGTTTGCAAATAAAAGTTATTAAAATTAGAAGTGTGTGGGGAAGGAAGGACTCCTTGTTATACTAGTGGATACTGGTCAATACTGTACTGTACTCTTAACATGTACAGTTCACAAATCTGTGTTCTAGCATCATGTTTACAGCACTAGTAAATAATATAGTGACATGCAGTACATGAACAAATCCACAAGGGCCGTGATGGGGGTGTATTGAAGTAAGGGCAATGAGGTAGAACATTTGATTGACAGAGTTTGGGTGCATAGGGAAATTGTGTAAAACCCTGGTTTGTGCTTCAGAGAAGCTGCGGGAGCCTTTTGTGGGCACTAGCACTCCAGGTTGCAATTCTTTTCCATGTTGTGGCGCAGTCGACTAAGGTGCTTCTGGGATCATCCCGGACGTAGGTTCGAATCCTCATCATGGTCCTTGTGGATTTGTTCATTTGATATATCAAGCTATTGTGATTTCTGTGTGTATGCCATACATCCAATGGGGTAGTATTTTTGACTTGGTTATTGGTCTCTTTATTTCCAGATTTCCAATTTAACATAGAAAACTTGTCCTTGAAGCGTTTCAGGTTGTTTAGCCAAAATGGCCTAGTCTGAGGGTGTCCTGTAGAAGTCATGTTAGGAAGCACAGTAAATTTAGATAAGCATATGATAAACTGAAAGCAACAAGATCCAAACAAAATGTATTTGAATACAGTAATATGAAATGCCTATTATGAAGTGAGGATAAAAAAAACAGATATAACATATTTTAGTACTAAACACACAAAAAAAAATCTTTTGAATATACAGTATAGCATTTCTGAGAGGGACCCAACTTTTTCTCCCTGCGCTTAACCCTGGAACCACCAAGCCAAAGCTCAGCTCACCGGATATTTGAGACGTTTTGTTGCCTTCTAGGAACCACGGCCAAAAAACTGTTCACTCAATGAGGCAAGCGATGGAGATTACATCACCCACAACATTTTGAATGATGCACCAGAAAGCATAGGTGCAACAAAACAAGCAACTGAGGGAAATTAAACACCACTAAGTAAACAAGGCAATCATTCATTGACAAGGCCACCACTACCACCAGATGACAGTCCAGGTCACCTGGTGTAGCCCATCTTTTGTAATCATCTGCTCTGCTTCTGACTTGTAGCCAAGTGGTGTTGACTTCTGGATCATCAGTTTCTGCTGGGGGGGGGGGGGGGTGGCGACTACTTAGTTTACATTGATGCTTTATGCTTGTGTTTATACCACCCATATTGGTGTATCTTGACAATCCATTTTGTTTCAGCCATGAAACAAAATGAGTTGGCTAGCATTAAACTGTGCCACCATTGATACCTGCTCTGAGAAGTTGTGGGTTACCTTCCCCTTCAAACATGCCTATTGTTTGTAGAAAGAAATCACATTAACATTATGCCTGTTGTTTACCTACTGATGATTTTAAGAGTTCTTCCACCACAGACTGACCTGTGGCCTCTCGAGTCACTTCGGTTCTAGGCAGTACATGCGACTTATTCTTCCCTGTGTGACTGTAAGGAAACAGTCTTTTCACAAAATAAAAAACATTCAACCTTCATGCTTGTGCTCATTAGAGACCTATCCATCATGCTGGCCTTGCACTTTACCCGAGGGCACACTTGGGTCGTGAACAAAGTCTGCCATGATCCGTGACTACTATACTTATACCCTCCCTCGCCAAGTGTACCGAGTTGAGATTTCAGTGTTTACTTCAAGGCATTTTCCCTGCACCTAGCCCACCTGCCTGTTTGTGACAGTCAAGGGTTAGACTCTCTAAACCACAAACACAATAAACCTATTGTCTTGTTTGTGTTTTAGGCCAGGCTGTTATTGTTTCCCCATCTGATTTTTCACAACTTTGCAGTTCCTTAGGGTGTGCTTCAGTGCCTTTTGACCTTGATGGCCTTTCCTGTTGCCCATCATATAGTTCTGTAGGTGGATGTGTCCCTTGTTGATGCTGGACTTCATTTTGGACTGAGATGCTTATTTGTGTGGTTGCTTTCACTGGATTGGGTTTTACAATATGTAGGCTTCATATGTGTATCTTTGATGCATGTATAACATATCAGCCAGCTGCTTTTGCTACTTTTGCCTTAGCTGGTAATTGATCCATTTTGGTTTGCTTGGTATTTTACCTTTGTCGGTTAGGGCTGCTCAGCTGTTTCAGGCTGTGGATCTGCTGTAGCCAACTCTTTCGTCTTCCTTGTCCCCATTGGACATGTGCTGGTTCATCAACCACCACACTCACACACAGAGATCACACCAACGTGATGCATCAAATGAACAAATCCACAAGGGCCGTGACGAGGATTCGAACCTGCGTCCGGGAGCATCCTAGACACTGCCTTAATCGACTGGGCGAAGAGGGAGAACGGCCTATTGACATAGCTTTGGTGCGGGGGGGTTGTGTAAAAGCCTGGTTTGTGCCTCAGAGAGGCTACGGGATCCAGTAAGTTCAGTAGAACTTCGGTTTCAACCCTTTTACCCTGTCGTAGCTCAGTCGATTAAGGCAGTGTCTGGGATGCTCCCGGACGCAGGTTTGAATCCTCGTCACGGCCCTTGTGGATTTGTTCATTTAACTATCACACTGTTTCTTTGAAGTATTCACTTTCTGTGCACCTCATACCTGTTGTTGTTGCATTGCCCCTCTCCCTGCTTCACTTATGTACTATGATTGCTTTTCATTGCTGGTTGTGCATTATACTATTTAGTCAATATATCATTGGGGATGGCAATGACTTTTGCTGCGTTTGGCCTGTGGATGGGCTGCTGCCTCCACCAGATGTTGGGGACTGCCCCTTCTGGGGCTGTGACTGAGGCTAGGGGCCTACTCTCCCTGCTTGATTCCCTGTATGTTCTCTCTTTGTTGATGGTCCATAGTTGCCTTTGACCATTTTGGGGGCTTTGTTCCTGCCATGGGGGTTTATTGCTCTGTACTGGCATATTCTCTAACGTCCTAATCCTGATACAATAAGGACATCACCTCTGCTCTCTCATAGGTGTATTTCTGGGTTTCTTTTCATGGCTAGTTTTGTTGCCCAGCCTTTTGTTGTCTATGCACATAGCTCAGAGGTATTCAATACTTGCTGTGAACCGAGACCATGCTTCTTAAATGAATCCCCTTGTTTATAGGTCCTAGCTTTTGTGAGGTCCTGGCTTCCACCTGGCTGGCAAACAACCTTTTTAATTTATTTGGAGAGTTGGCATCTTTGCTATCACCCACCATAATGATGGCTGAACAGAGTATGATCAAGTTTTATCAGATATTTTCCAGAGGGCCTTCTTTCATGGCTATAACAGTTACCAATTTTGCTCATGCCCTGTCCTGCATAGCAGGCTTGGCAATTTCCCATCCAAGTGCCCAAGTTGCCTTCAGCATTTGTTGTGATGAAGCATAGGGAACCCATTCTTTTGGTGGAAATTTTCCATTAATGTGTTGTGCAATTGTTATATTTCATAACTTTAACAATTTGTCGAGACTCTATGCTTTACTTGTTTATATCCCTAAAAGAAATCATAATAATGGTTACATATGAGTGAATCATTACAGTATAATGCACTCAACTCTGGTTTAATCACTAGTAATAATAATAATAATAATAATAATAATAAAACAAAAATTTATTCAGGTAAAAGTTCATATGTACATACAAAATGAGTTACAAACAGAATGTTGGGTTTCTAGTGTCTACACTGTGTTGCTAGTATCCACATACCTAGGCAAGTCATTGAAATACAGTACAGGATCTTCAACTATTAATATGTTCCTTTAGCATAATATAGTAAGCCCAAAGATGACTGCAAAATGCTTGAGATAATCATGTAACTGCATATCATAAGAAACACCCTTGTGCAGTGTAATTGCTTTGTCTTAATGAATGTGGTCATGCCACATAATTTTCACACTACATGAGAGTCTACAGTAATGGTTCATATATTTTAACCCTATAGAACCACTTTAACATGGACCAAAATTGTTCAGCTTTAGATGTAATTGACCTTCTTCAGATTCTTTTCTATGTAATATGTAATAAATCATATTAAAAGTTCCACAAACCCCCAGCTCGATGATCAGTTTAAATCCAAATGTGCACTGGGACACTCGCCTATGCCATACCCTCCTCATCAGTCACTGCACATAAGCTAATAGGATTTTTATTCCTGCAGATGGACGTAGCAGGTGTTGACAATCCCGGAAGGCTGCACCGCTGTCCAGTCTGTTCTCGCAAGTTTGAGTCACCCTACAAGTTGACACGACATATACGGATACACACAGGCGAGAAGCCCTTCGCTTGTCCCCACTGTCCACACCGCAGTAGTAGAAAAGATGCCATCCAACACCATATCCTAGCAAAACATGTCAGTTCCAACTAGGAGAATAAAACTGAAGAATAGGGAAAAAGTAGATTGAAATAATAATAAAGACTGAATTATACCTAAATATAAACAGATATATATATATATGTAAAAGGAAAAAATTCAATAATACTGTAACAAGACAATCTGATTTGCAGAATAGAAATTCAAACAATCATTTAATCAGGTGTTCTTAAAAAAGATCATACAGTGCAAATATAAAAAAATTTATAGGATCAACATCCTTCACTATACTGGCAAGTTAGTTATTTATTTGCTGAAACTATGATTTCATTAATAATTTTAAGATAATATAATTATTAGATTTGATAATTTTCATTTGTTTACTCTGTTTCTCAAGATCCAAACTTGTGTGCAGCCATCATCTCTTGTTGAAATATTTTTGTATAGTTTTAATCAAGTTTAAAAATGGCAATAGCATTATTATACAAAATATATATTTTACAAGTGTAAAATGTTCAGTACAGTATTAGAATTATCAGATTATAAATGTTTTTGT